CGCTCGCAAACCTAACATTTTCTGTGACGTTATACAAGATCCCTGGAGACTTTTTTTGTGTGATAAGATTCCCGGATCTTGCGTCCATCCTTCTAGTCGGAGCCCAATAAAATCAGATTACAATTCGATTTAAAACTCGAAGAGAAGGGGTTAATTATTATAAAAAGTAGAAAAAATCTCTCTTTTTATGCATGCTTTATATTGAAATGACAAGTATTGCCAAAAAAATAGCTTTTGAACGGTAGAAAAGCGTAGATATGATGATAGCATACCGTTAATCAATTTACTTTTGGTACTATCTTTAAGTAGGAGCCTTTTTTGTACTATCTTTAGTAAGGTTGTTTTAAAGACAAAAAAAATATTACCACAAGGTTCATCATGGTCGAGAACCTACATCTGCAATCATTTTCACCGGTCCCAAATCTAACAGAAGAGAATGGTGCTTCGAAGAAAAACTCTGACTGGCCCAAACCTCGGGTTTTGAACAGCCACTCGTCAGTCTTTTATGCTGTGAAAACATGAATTTCTAGCTCAGAGGTAGATGCAGACGAATGTAGCACACCTCCCTTGAATCCACTACGGAATAAAATATCAATGGTGCTATTCAAATAAATGCAGAATATGAATGAAAATGCAGGGATCAGTTAGTTCAAATGGATGGAAAAGTCCATATGTTGAACATCTACTAGAGGGTTTTGTGTTAATAATCGAGTTCACTGGTGTTGAAGGTTGAATACATAAATGTACATCGTATTTTCAATAATTGTTTATAGCCATTATAGGTGAGATTAATACGTATTGTGCAATACAGTTAGTAATCTTTAACGATGCCCTATGACGCGTGTAAACAACAAAGAGAGAATATATTCTTCTCCTCTTACAACACACAAAAGAAGAAGCAAAATATGAAGTTTTCTCGTTTGATGGTTTTTCGTCGGATAAGTGGACGCAAGGTGAGTGAAAAAGCGAGTACATTGATCTAAATTTGCTTATAAATTCTTTAGAAACGGTCATCTAGTCTAAATAAGCAATCCTTGCACATAGTTTGAAATAGCTTTTTTAGTTGTAGGTTTTTTGAGGACTATTTAGAAGAAAAAATTTAGCTAAACTGATTTTTCCTCACAGAGATCTGATGTTCTGAAACTACGTTGGCACTTGGAGGAAAGCTTTGCACAACAACAGCGTTTATAGTATTTCGTGTATCTAATTAACTCAGGCGAACGAGTTCTGTTAAAGCTTCACACATATTCTTGTAGTCCGTGAAATACTCTACATGGCATAATATATTTTCTTATAATTACTTGTCAGTAAAGATACAAAAGCTTTCAACGATTGCAACGAATGCAGTTATCTCCAAAAACGGTTACTTTCTGTTTTCATACCGGATCTTAATGATAATAATCAAATTTGGCAGTGATTTCTACATATGTCGAAAGTCGATACAGTTTTATATATAAGCTGAAAAATTCGGCTGCATATATTAACTCTAAGCCGAGATATAAATTTGTAAAATAAAGTGAAAACAAAAATGCTGAAATTTACGGCCGACTTTTCAGGAGCTTTAGAAAATCGAATACATTTTGTTACTTGAATACATATAAAAATCTGCAATGTTTGCTTTTTTAGACTAGAGACCATGCTTTATAGAATGGAAAAACATTAGGTTTCTATCACGTTCCGTTCAAATACAACAGAGTCTGACATTTGTGCAAGAACTTTTGCATCACCTGTTATTATCGCCGCCAAAATACGGTGCAGATTCCAGTTTTTTGATTAACTTTCGATAGAAGAAAGCTAGAGACTTGGGATTTCCAGTAATCAAAAGTAGACAGCTGATACTAGTTTTTCACAAACAAAAGCGATTTTTAAAAATAGTTTTAAGACCAGTTTTTCAGAGGGGCTTTGTAGAAATCATATGAAAACTATCGATTTTTTCGGATGGATTTGTAGTCTGGACTGTCTTCTCCCAAACTGGGTAGACGCGAGATCTTCAAAACCGGTGGTTTGGGCTTGTCAGAACTTTTCTTCGGAGCACCATTCTCTTCTGTTAGGTTTTGGACCGTTGGAAATTATTGCAGATGTAGGTTCTCGACCATGGTGAATCTCGTGGTAATGTTACAATTAGAAGAGAAAGTGGTACACATGCTTCGTAAGGTGTCTAGAGAACAAGGCAGAGAGCACACTGGGATCGATCAGGAATAAAGATAGTAAACTGATATAAGAACAGTACATGTCCGTGGAGAAGACGAGAGAAAAAGAGGAGATAAAGCGAAGACGAGCGAAAGAGAGAATGGAACAGAAAGAAGGAAAGAAAAATATAGACAAGATAATGGCTTTTAAAAAAGACAAAGAATGCAGACAGGCACGTAAAGGGTAGATTACTAACAGATAAGGCCAGTCCAATCCAGCAGAAAACTTCAATGACATTTTTCAACAGCTTCATGTGCTTCGTATAAACTAGTACCGCATTCGATTAGTTTTTCTATTTATAGAAGAGAAGAAGAAGTAAGAGAATTGTACAGTACATAAATAACCAAGGTATACTATTGAAAGAGATAACATTTGCTTGAGACTAAAATCAATGTTGTATGTCTGATTTACGATTTAGATATTATCTCCTTTGACCACGTCGTCCTGCAGTCTACTATCTGGTGTCCGCTTCGGAGTCTCTGTACGGGCCACAATCTTATCCTCATCAGGCCAAATTTGTTTGTAATCTACCTTACACTGCAACACCTCAGGGCGTGCATAATGCCCTCGAGAATCAACCCATATTTTGACTGTGGCAATTTGCGTTAGGTCAATAGTTCCAGTAACGAATTCATCACCTTTGCCGACTTTAGGTCCAGCAACATAATTACAAAATGGGGCGATGATGGAGCTCCAGCCTCCGCCTCCTTTGACCAGATCTTGCTTGCCAATATTCTTCTCCATCCATTGCAAGCAGTCATCATCAATCCAATTAGACGCACTGATCACAAAGCACTGTCCTGTAATTGCATGGTTCTTCATCATTGCGTCAATCTGGATATCTGCCAGATCAGTAAAACCTGCCATAGTTGATAGGGCTGGCCAGGCAGCGGCATGAATTTGTTCGCCCTCGGAGACAAGTGCTTGACGAGCAAGATTCATTGTATGCTCCCAACAGGCCAATCCTCCCACTTTCCCCATGGAAGAATCAAAAGTGCGAAGAGTATATCCGCCACCTTGCGCCCACACGACTCTTTCCACATATGTGGGTTGAAGCTTTCGATGAACTCCCAGTAATGCTCCGTTTGAATCAATATATACTTGCGAGTTGAAGCAAGTGTGACCGCCTGCCATCCTTTCGCTAATCCCGAGGACAATCATCACACCTTCTTCCCTACACACATTTTGAATCGCCGAAATCTCCGGTCCATTAATCTCCACGCTTTCTTCGACATACATCGCAAGGGCGCTGACGTATTGAAGTGGAGGATAACATTCAATGAAATAGGGGTAACCGGGTATGAACGTTTCAGGGAATACGAGGAGCTTGGCGTCGGCAGCACGGCTTAATCTAATGAGGGTAATGACTTTTTCAGTCGTTAGGCACTTGTTCATGAAGACCGGCGAAGCATGGACTGCAGCTGCTTTGAAAGGCAGCAGATCGCGATTCGTCATGCCTATTTTGTCCTAGCCAGAGATGTGATATAACGTCATATATTTAGCCAAAAGTATGCATATGAACGAATTTTGGCTTGGTTTTGTGCATGTGAATAGAGAAAACGCTACTAACATTGAAAAGAAACCTCGTGTATTTCTTGTTTGTTCTTCTTGCAAAATGCTTCAGTGCACACTACACTAAAACATAATGATTCTGAGTATGTGCACAATTGTATGGATTTATTAGCATACTACATAAAAAACAATATCAGGAGTGGTTTGGGGTAATATTATACTATTATTTTGTGTAATTATGTCATAATACATGCTCCTCGTGTGTTGCAAAAGATAATAAATATTTAGGTCTTCGGTACACTGAAGAAAAAATTAACAGCAGGCCTTCCAATTGTGCATCAACCATTCCCTTTTGTGTTTACTTAACATAAAGTGTTAATCGTAGGTTTACAAAAGTTTAGCAAGAATCCTGACGTTTATTAAAGTACTATTAACAATTCAGCGACAGAGTCATGTTCAGGATCAAAATCAAAAATTATAAAAAATTAGCGGCTACTGCGCCGCTGTTTTAGCAGCAGTTTCACGATTAGAATTTGATCCAATCTACATTATATTTATTACTGAATAAAAACATTACTGTTATAATAAATTTTGTATAGTTAATGCAGCTATGTGAAATGACAACATTCTTTTATGTTGTGACACACAGTAAGGTTACACAGCATGTTCAGAATCAGAAGGTTGACGAAACTTTTTCTCTCAAATCAGTCTTTAATATATATCATCAGGCACAGTATTTTGTGAATACTTCCTAGGACCTGTCGGTTTTCGGAATGAAAAGGAAGTTTAAAGTGTAAAGTTTGTATACGAATATTTCTCTGGTTTTCAGAGGTTTTTTAATCAGTAGGTATAAACACAATTTGCATTAGCGCAAAATCGACTTTTTATACAGAGAACGGAATCGGTCCAAACTTTTTTCTAAAGAGCTTATTATATGAATTGACGGGCAGGAAAGTATCTCTTGATTCAAATCACTTTTCGCCAAAATGCGAATGAAAAAATTCCCTGCTTCTGTTCATCTTCACAACAACTATCGTCTTCAATCTGCCAACATCAGTCTACCACACAGTCTCATTCGCAAATTCAAACTCAAAGCCTGATAAAAACAAACAAACAGAACAGCAAATAAAAACATTGTGTTATTGCAGACAGTTTAACTTCTCATGTCGATAAACGTAGACTACAACCTGCTGATTTTGAGACTGACATTCGGTCGTTTCCACAAGGTGGCACTCTGAAAGAATTGCTCAACCGATTCATCAGGGTCGCCTCGACCAAACTCTGTCTTCTTCTCATTCAGCCACCTTCATTCTCGGCGCTAACAATCTAACGGTCGAACAGTCGTCTTCTGCTATTGATAAAGTCAAAAATCTCGTTCAGATCGTCAAAAAGACTTTAGTAAAATGTGATATAACCGTTGCTTTCATTCCTCCTCGTCGCGTAGCATCCATAATTGAAAATATAAACATCTCTAATTCTGTCAAAACATTTAACGACGAGCTTCAACTGCTTTCTTCTCAAATCGGCTTTAAAACGTTAGATTTGGGCATAACAGTTGATGAAATTAGCCGTCGTGATGGAATTCATTTAATCGGGCGATACACGACTAGTTGTGATCTAGATTACTAGTCGGAAAGTGGACTTATAACTAGATCTGACAGAATAAAGTTTATATCAACTAGATGTGTCGACCCAAGGAGATGCAAATCCGGGATTTCATAGCTTGGATGATGTTTCCCTAGATTCATATTTATAGAAAAATCTCACAGTAAAACGGATGTTTCTTTCTCGTTGTTAGAAAGCGAACATTGTAGTTTCATAAAAAATAGGCTTCTGTCAAAAGTCGGCGATCCTATGGATAATTTTGGACAAATAG